CCTACAAAGAAGAGGGGTCCCCATCCCTAATAGGTGCGCCCTATGTGAATGTGAGGAGGAAACAAACCTCCACTTGTTCTTTCTATGTGACTTCTCTTTTGACCTATGGGGCAGGGTATTACAACTATTTGGCATAGAATGGGTTAACCCCCCCCCCCCTTCGGTAAAAGCCCTCCTAACCTATAACCTTGAATCAAGTTGGCCTAAGGCAGGAAGAATCTTGTCGAAGGCGACTTTAGCTGCTACCATATGGATAGTGTGGCTAGAAAGAAACTCAAGAATCTTCTGAGGCTCTAAGCTTCAAACTCCGGCACTTTTGCACAAGGTGGGCCTCCAACCATAAGTTCTTTGCCAGAATTCCAGGAACTTTCTTCCTCTCACAATGGGGAAACATCCTTCATCATCAACCACCGGGGGTAAGAAGGCCAAGCAACTAGTTACCACCAACCACAAGGCAGCATCAAATTAAATTTCGACAGATGCTCCTTGGAGAACCCTGGTCCAACAGGGTCAAGAGGAGTCTTTCGAGACTTTGAAGGCAGTATACTCCTCACCATCTCTGAAGACCTTGGCCTCAAGGACTCTCACCATGCGGAAGCCTTAGCCCTCCTCCTAGCTTTGAAAAAGTTCAACCCTTTCTAGGGCACAAGACTGATAGTGGAAGGTGACTCGAAAAATGTCATCTCTTGGGCTAGTAGAACGAGTGATCCACCATGGCATTTGACCCCAGTTTTTTACGAGCTTTACCAAATTTGCAGGGCTATGGACGTCTCATGGAAGCATACTTGGCGGACGTCCAACGATATTGCAGATGGACTGGCGAAGGAGGGCACTAGAAGTCGGGATCAAGCTGCTCATACAGGGTCCACTTTCTTTTTTGCACTGGACCAGTGGACCTCAACCTAAATTTTTTGGGTCTTTTCTTTTCTTTATTTTCGCACTATACATCTCAAGGCGGATGGGCATTTTTATAAGCCCTTTCCTTGCCACTTTCTTGTAAAATTTTGTAAGGGGGTAATCTTATAACCCAAATTTTTGCACAGGGTCTACTGACCTATTTTTAGCGAGAGTCCCGCCTAGAGGGCACTCTTGGATGAACACATTACTATACTCTTTCTCTCTACAGCAATACAATTGTTAACAATTGTCTAAAAAAAACAGAAGCATAATCTTTTAAGAAAGTGAGATGTGTCATTTTCTGAGTGCACCGAGGGGCTCAACGGTGATCATTCAGAGGGAAAATATATATTCTCCAGTTCATTCATCATAACATGACCTTTACACATTATAACATTTTTGTTCCTCTGACAGTCAATAGAAGTTTACAATCAGCTTCCATAATCACATGGCAAAAGAAATCATTTATCAACCAAGTGCCACAGGAACAGGAAATAAACACACCAAGCACTATTATAGACTTTTCTTCTTCTAACGGGCTACTCTTCAAGCTCTTCCCTTAGGATTAGCTAAATCCACATAATCTGCCTCTTGTAATACCAATTTCACACTTTAAACCAGAGTTGTTGGAAATCAAAGGGAATATACTTATGGTTGTCATGGGGCTCAAAAAAGATAGAAAATATACACTTTTGGCAGAATATATCATCTAGTATGACATGAGAATTACTGTGTGCTTGACTCACATGACGATAGACTTGACTATAATTCTTCCAGAGGTCATGGATTCCAACCGTAGTTTACTAGTTTTATATTAATCAAGGTCTTTTTATCAAGGGTGTGGTTTGCATAAGGTTGCAACTTTCAACGAACAAAGTAAGGAGTACCTCCAAAATCATGTCTTGAGATGCAATTTTGGTGTCAAAAATTCTTAAGATGGTGTAAGAATCTATTTTCATCTTTAATTATAAGATCTTAAACTTTAAAAATAGCTCAAATTAAGCAGATCTATAACACATGAAAATCTTGAAAATAGATGGTCCAGATAATGTGATGCAATATGTATTATTCTTAGGATTTGAAATCTTTTTCTTTCTCCATATATATACATCTCGAGATGATTAATTAAATGTTTTTTTAATATCAAAACAACATTTTCTCGAAGGACTTTAGAAGTGCACCTTAATTCTACATTTTAAGGTGGGAACCTTATATAAGCTTTTTCCTTCTATCAAAGCAGTAATTTAGACAAGTTAGAAAAAGAGTCAAAAAAATTTTATATAATTCAGTATAAAATTACCAGGAGCAACAGACGATATTGCAAAAGAATAAGCACATACCTGCTGCTCATCTATAAGTCCCTTTAACTGAGCATGAAGATCATGCACAAGATGAAAAAGAAATAACATGGAAAATCTGCATTGATTTTATATGTTTGAACAATATTTCCCATTTCTTTTTCTTCTTTTTTGGTGTAAACCTAATTGTATTCAAGCTATTTTTGGCACAAAGATTACAGGATACCATAACCCCAATCTCAAAAGAGGGTTTCAACAGTAAAGAACACCAAAACAACCTTTCCTCCATGGTAAAGGGGAATGTTATTTCATCAACACATAAAAGTAGTTTGTTTTGAAACAGATAAAAATTGATAATTCACACCCAAAGAACCCTCAAATATGTCCTATAAAATAACTAAATCATACAAGATCAGAAGCATTTTGCATCTGAAGCCAACAAACAGAACCATTAAGATTAGATTGCTGCATCTGAAATGAAGAACACCTTTAAATGATGCAGATGATGTAAATAGAAGAGAAGAGTTCATGCTTTTATGTTGAAAAATGACTGATTATTTTCAGATTTATATAATGGGGACAAATGCATGTTCCAATTTACTGAAAACTGCAGTCCTCATATCCACCTCTAGTGCCCACTTTCCAAGGCGGAATTTCCTTCCTGTTACAATTTCAGATGAAAATTAAATAAATATAATTATATACTTTCACAATTAATCATGGAAATTGACACCTTAGGACAAGCCAAGCCTTCTAAAAAGTGACTTTTTGGTTTGTATAATATTAGCCACTGTAAGGTAGTTTAGTTGAAGGAGTCGAACTTGGGACGTAGTATTGCAATAGTCAACACCTTAACCAGCAAAGGCCCAATAGAGCATAATTTGACACTTCAAGGTGAATGGATTATACAATTTCGGGACATAGATATAAAAGAAATCTTTCGGATAAAATTAAGACCAAAGAAAGAAAGAGTCCATTTGGATCCAGTTGGTGGATAAGAGTACTTCAAGCATAATATACTGAAGCAAATTTTACTTACAATACGAGAACGAAGCTTTAAAAGCAATACGAGAACGAAGCTTTAAAAGCACAGAGGCACCTCTGAAGAAAGCCATCAAAACATAATACTATTTAGAAACAACTAACCTCAATCACCAAAGGATACATATCAGTCTATACTCCTTCATGGCTCAAATGACATAAACATCGAGGCTATATGTGTGCTTATCATAAGAGAATAAAATAAATGAGAAAATCACGCTATGAGAAAAATGAAACTTCATTTCTAATTGCTCACCACAAGCCTGTTACCCTACAAAATCCACTTCAGATTTCCAAGAAGCTACGACAAAACAATAGTATGGCAAATAGGAAATAACATGCCACAAGCATGAAATTCTAGTATTTATCAAACTAGGACTTAGTCTATACATTACAACTAACAAGATTCCCAAAAACAAGAGAGAGAACCCCCTGTCAAGTTCGCATACCAAACAGTCGCACTAGAAATCCCTCCCCCCCACCAAAAAAAAATAGAAAAGACAAAGAAAGCAACTCGTGATTCAAGCCACTATATCTTCCTATTCTCTACCATGTAAATATGTTTATGTAGTATTATTGTGAAGACCCCATACTGGAGCAAAAAGCAAGACAACATAGCTTCTTCACTACAGAGCTAACTAAATATGCCAAAGTATTGTGATTCAAAACATCAGAAACAACATGTGAACTAAGATGGCTTTGAATCACAAGATGCCTCGCAACTGAGTAAACATCAGCTGTAGCTGATAAATAAATCCACAGATACATCCTAAATCCACCATAAAGAAGTAAAAGAAAATCAAGTTCGCAAGAAAATAGTAACTCAAAGGATGTCGCATAACATATTGGCACCACCAAAGTATACGTGACAAGCCATAATTGATCCTTAGATTGAATGTGTCTAACATTGTACAGACACAAATCACACAAAAGATAAAACAAAATTCTCATTCATAGTTCAAGCAGCGATACCAACAAAAAATGCATTCAACATATGAAATTCTTGGGCTACATACAGGCTCAAACATTTACAAAGTTTGAAGCCATAGCATCCGGGATCTGGGCTGAAGACTAAGACCCACCCAGATTGCCAAACTGAATGTGAAAAAGTTTGTATAATTTACAAAAAAGATGAATACAAGAAAGATAATATTTCACTGTATCATAGGGGCATTCTTAGGCCAATGCCATTTTAATAACCAGTAGATCAATCAAATGGAAAACAACTTCTATAATACTAATTCTACCTTAAAAATCATAAACATTTCATTAAAATTACTTTTAGAGTATCAAAACAGGAGAAACAAATCCAAATTTTCCAAATGCTGAATATCATAAAGTACTTGTATAAAGAACAACTCATTAATGACAAATATGAAAAAGAAGAACAAAGAAAAAAACTAATAAAAAACCCAGATATACTTAATTTTCGCATATAATAACAAAGACATGGTGACTTTTGGTCTTACTGAGGGTATGACTCTTAAAAGAGAAGAACGGAGGAACGGGATTCATATAGCCGCCCCAAATCATTAGGATAAGGCTTGGATGATAATGATGATGATGAATTAACAAACAGCCAAACCCCACATGATAAATCTACTTAGAGAACCAAAAATTTTCCATTTTCATTCTATCCATGCCATAGAGAGAGAGTTAATAAAGGGAAATTTGATATAAAGTTTACCTCGAGAGAGAAAAAGCATGACAGAGAGAAAATGAGCAAGAGAGGAAAGACCAACACAGAAATATTAGAAGACCTAATGGCTCCAACTTATAAATCATAATTCAACAAATGGAGATGAAGAGATTTCACAAATATCCAAAATAACTAAGAGTAAAATGAACTTCAGTGTGTCTATGAGAGAGAGAAAGTAAATCTAGCTTTCTCTGAGTTTAATACAGAAACACAAACTTCAAAATTACAATCATAAAGACAAAAAATCAAGTGCACATTTCTGCAATACACTACTTAAAGGAACCTCTTTATTTCTTCTCTTCAATTACTGAGGGGGGGGGGGGGGGAATGGCTCCAACGCATCGTACTATCATTAGATTGTAACAACCACAAAACCTTAGGATGCTGCTTTCTTGCAGAAATTCTCGAGCCACTCCATTGTCACACTTTTTGGCCTCTCAAGAGGAAATCCAAGAGCCCGATCCCATATCAACTGCATCCACAATCAAGGATTAGAACGAAGGTCATATACTTACAAATTCAATTGTATAATACTTGTGAAATGAAAATTGGAAGGAGGGAGGGTAGTGAAAACCTGTGAACAGATTCCCATGCTTCTTGAGACTCCAAAAAGAACAGTGTAATACCTGGCATGACAGTTATTTCATAATGTTTCATCAATCTATCACACTAAGCAGTGTTACCACGACACTCCACCCAAGGCCCGGTGTCACATTTCAACACCAGATACAATGGGATTAGAATATATAAAATATATCGAAAAGGTTCAAGCTTCAGGCCTTGAAATTGGGCGGTATTAAACAAGAATGTCAGTCTACTGCTCCACACGCAGCTCAAACGTATTAAAGATTGGAAAGGATTTATGTATTCATTCAAAATTTGAACTTGCATACAAAATAGTAGTTGTACAGACATCAGTTACGGTACCTGCCTTTCTAAGAGACGTACAAGACACTTACCTGCCTTTCTAAGAGACGTACAAGACACTTTCATACGTGCACATACGTGTTACGCACTAGCATTCGTGTCAAATCCATGTAATAGTGGTTCTAGCCAGCTCTCTCTCTCTCTCTCTCTCTGTGACATACACACTGGACAAAGCAAAACCGTAGTTTGATCTTGTAAATGATTGTGTCCTTGCAAAAACATGATACAGTTTTAGCTTATAAAAATGGTATAGATGAAAAGGACAATTTTGTCTATCTGGAATTGCAGAACAATCCATCTTACACTTCATGATACAAGTGATACCAAGTTAAAGAATTTCTGGTTTTGGGAGGGGCAGTCTAGATTTACCTGGCTTCAGTCAGTCCAAAATGGTTAAGCAGTACTCCACTGTGAGCATCAACATTGGGCCATGGGTTCTTGACCTGCAAAAGCATAGTGAATTGTTCATCTTGTCCTTCAGTCACTAATTCGGTCACCAATTCAAAGACGTGAAAACCAAATCTAGCTATATAAGAATTGTGTGTTAATTTGTGAAAGTGAAAATAGCACGTCTCCCTCCCTCACTCCCTCTCTCACAATTGTTCTTTTTCAATGATTAATTTTTGCTTTTAGATTACCTTTACCTTGGAATAAAAGAAAATAACATTTGTGTCTTCTTTACTCATGATATTTCTCTTACCTTCCCCAGCTCAGTGAGTATAGGAGGAACAACTTCATAAAGCTTCGAAACCTAGAATAGAAAATAACAAAACGGATTAATTTCAGATCATTCTAAGAGCTCTCCAAAAGAAAATCAATCCCTATAACAAATGGTTGCAGGTCTGAGAAATGAACCAGCTGGAAAAGGGGATCATCAGGCAAATGCTTCAAAGCAAACTCCCTTTGACATGTGTATCTTGGATCTGTCTTCCGAAGAACTCCATGCCCAAAACCAGGAACAACCTGCAAAGGAAAACATAAGTCTCAGAGCTAAAAGAAATCAAGAACTCGATTTAAATAAACCCACACAATGGACTACAACAAACCATAGTCTACCATGATGGGATCATCACTGTCTAATGAAACAAATAATCGCCCATCATTTCATTGGAAAGTGATGAACCCAATGGACTATGGTTTTCCATAGTCCACCAGAAAGTAAAATACTGCAATCTCTATCAGGTTAATTGAAAACAACAGGTATAATAGCCACGTAGTGGGAACCCACCTTGCCACTGTTCAATGTTGTCCACACATAGTCTTTTAACTGTTCCTTTGTTATGTTTTCCCCACACTGCTCCACCACTGACTTGATCCACAGCAAAACTTCCTGTTGACAAGAAAAGTGGATAAAAAAGAATTACAAAACCCACCATTATCAGAAAAAGATACAAACATTTAGCATCAAAAGACAAATTGAGCTTCAAATATATTAGAGCTATGTGAATGCGTATTTATTTCTAAAAGTAAAAAAAAAATTAGAGAAATTAAAAAACTTGAAAGCTTACAAGGTGATAATGTAAAGGTGTAATGGAAAAGAGATTTCTCCCAAACATATGCATAGACAAATTTATAATTTGGGGTAAGAACTTACAAAGATATAAGAACAAAATGAAATGCACTAACATTATGTATAGCATATCATACTGAATTGAATCCCAAAGAATTATATTGAGTGATAAGAATCCAAGTGTAGAAAAGAAATAGGAATAATCAATGCAATGCATGCATAAGAAAACATATAAAAACAAGACCATGGATGATTCCTCTATTTCCCATTCCAGCAACTATGCATTGAACTAATCCATAAGTTTCCACAACAAAATTCCTGTTTTTTCTTTAGTACCTGGAAAATGCCCTTTCAGATAACATTTAACCTTTCAATGAGCAATATTAACCAAAACATCAATGTGATAGAACCATCTCCCAATCCAATTACCAGATACGTGTGCATACTTTAATGCCACACAGACTGCATACAAACCCAAAATTCCATTGATAGCATCAAAAATTGAAGTTGATTACCACTTCTTTGAAGAAGTTAACGCAATGTCTCTTTACCATGTTTCTGTTCACAATCACACATGGCATATCTATTTAACCAAGGCTGACTCAACATGTAATTGATACTAAGCAAATTGAAAATGTGTATGCGAGCCACTACACCAGGTTAAAGGAATCCACTAATGGGTAATCTTGTCAAGTTGTCATGTGCATGCATTCATCTTTACATTCTATGCTGCACATATTTGACTCTTATTTATGGGGCTTTAGGTTCAGGGTTGTTGTAAAATTAGGCTTTGGGAGAATATGTTCTTGGAATGGAATGTACATGTCATGGTTCCACGACTTGGTTTGGTTGGCAGCTCTCGAAGCTAGAGTCCAACCCTTGCTTCAGGTGACTGAAAAACGAGATACATGTGCAATCACATGCTTTATACGATTTCATTTAGATTCCATCTTGCAATGGATAAAATAGAAAGGGATACTATCACAACAAGCTACTAGTGCATCTCTAACTATTCATTTCGCATGGAACTTTATTTTTATTGGTCATAGCAATAACTTCCATAACAAGTCTAAGAAACATTCCAGGTAAAACAAAATTGAACCAAAACTTCAGATTTTGAAGGCAATATTACCTGATTAGCCAAGCCATGAAGTGGCCCAGCTAAACCATTCAAAGCAGCAGCAAATGAAAGGTAAGGATCTGAAAGGGCACTACCCACCTACACAAACGATAAGAGTCACAAAAATTGCTAATGGGAGTGTAAACCTCTTCAACCTAAAGCAGGTAGTAGAGTAAATGACTGAAGCCAAACCAATGGAACCTAGAAACTAGCTTCACGCACACACAAGCACGTGAAAGCATGCACACGAGAGAGAGAGAGAAAGAGAGAGAGAGTCCCTCTTAGAATGTGTTGTCTGTAATCTACAAGAATCAGATGAGCGAAGCAGAACTGCATAAAAGAAGTAGAAATTAGAGAAAGAAACATTTAGATAATCAGGATTAATTACCAAATGAGCAGTGTGAGCACTGACATTTCCACCTTCATGGTCACTGCAAATTTAAACATAGGAACACTGTCAATCTTAAGTAACGGTTACAAGCACTATAATATAGCATTATTGCCTACTTATTATTATAATAAATATAATAAATACTCAGGAACAGATAAAATAATAAATAATGGATAAGAAAATATGCACCATATTACCATGAAATTTATCTCTAAATTTCTAGAAAAAGGCACCTACGTGTGGATGGTAACATATAATCGCATCAACTCATGCATTTTAGGACTATCAAACCCAAGCATGTGCGAAAAATTTGCTCCATAGTCCAGGCCATCATCTGCAGGAATGATTTCTCCATTCTTGTACATCCTTCAAATTTCAAAAGCAATAAAATTATTTCCAGTGAAAACATTGAGCATAACCGAAGCACTTTAAGATCAATAGATAAAAAGAAAGGAGGAGCATACAACTGACAGAACTAGCATGCTTTTGTAATTATTTTGTCAGGGTAAACAAGACTTCCAAGGAATGGGGAAAAGTACAAAGAAAGTTGTGCTGTTTTGCACAAAGGGAACTCGAAGAACCATAGCCAATACATGTAATAGCATGTGGTGAAAATATTGATAATCAAAGAAAGTAAAAAACGGCATGCATATGTGAAACATAAGCTGGTCCAGAAAAGAAATGCATTGGGAATATAATGGAAACATGATGACAACCAGAAGACTAAATAAGGGTGATAAAAATATCCTCAGGCCATAGAGAAGACCTCTCACTACAGCACTTAAAAGGCTTTGACCTTGTTTGTATGATCCTGTATTCCTATTAATGAAAATGATTATGGGCATTTCGAGGTCTTCTTCACATGGATGGGGAGATCCATTTTGTGATTTTACAAATAAGTGCAGAAATATATAGCCCTTATGAATAGATAAAGCAACCCAAGTAGGGAAGGAAATATTCATTAATAAGCAAGGGAGAAAACAAGGACGTAGAGAAATAAATGATCTGTTAAAAAGAAACTTAGATGACAAAATATCTCTTTTATTCCTAGTTACTCTTGGCTTTGCGTTCCCATTGTGTGCTTTGAGGGGCATTGCTATTTACAACCATTCTACACTCCGACTTAATCCTTCCATACTCCTCCAAACTCCTACCCAATCAAAGCCCAAGAGATAACCCATCATGTTAATACACCACCAATCTCATTTTCCCAAATCAAATCCCCAATGCCTTTGAAAATACGATAGCTTCTCTCTTCCTGAGCAAACCCAAAAAACAGTCAATAGACAGAATCTCCATAAAATAATGGCAGCTTTGTTGAAGAAAGGGACCAGATGACAATGAACAAATTACTCACTCAAAATGCTCTGGAATTGCTCATACACAAGCGAAAATGATTAAAAGAGAAATCGCTCGTACCCAAGCAAAAATGATTAAAAGAGACTCAAAAACCATTCAGAAATTGCATGTGGACTGGAAAGTCTATACTGAAAGCAATCGCAGATGGCAATTAGTCAAAACAGCCAACCATGCCAACCCAACACCAATAATGGTAAAACCTTTAAAATTATATTCGACCCATAATATCCATAATACGAATTTGAAAAGAAGTTAATTTAACATAGCTACAAGTTCAATACCCAGAACTCAAGAACCAATTGACCTCGTGGAATGAAACGATGGGCAACTTCTTAAGGCCATCTCCCATAAAACAGAGCAACTTTGTTTTCTCTAACTTATTTTTCATCTTTTCTATGCTTGTGGTGAAGTAAGTTGAGAATTTGAACCCAAACCCAATCAATAAGACAAGGTGCTTTCTGCCGCTAAACTTATACTTGATACCAAGAAAAAACTTCTTCAAATGAATCGCAAACAACCAATGATTAGATGGAGAATCACAACTTATCTAATTCATTCTCATATAGAGCCAACCAAGTCCTTAACATACAAATTTAATGCAAAATGTTAAGTAAAGCAACTGAAATAATTTATTCCTCAAAGTCCGTACAAAATGAAAACAACAGAATTAAGGATTTTGAAAGACGTATGCAATAAACCCCAAAAAGTTCAAAGTTTCACCTTCGATAAATGAAAGAGGCAACAACTGATACTTGTGCAATCAAATTTAGTGCATCCTCATATGTTGGCTCCCAAAACCTAAAATACAGTCAAATTATGACAAAGCACATTTGCCACAATAAACAAAACATAACAACAAAATCTCTTAAGAGCCTACCGAGATTTTGATATTCCTTTCTCATATGCCTTTTGAAATTCACTTTGCACCTGAGACGAAAAAACAAGAAAAACAGTGTGGGTGGCTGCTACAGATGGTTCCACATTAGGAAAATCTAAGATTTCCAAAATTTGATTCCATTCAGGGAAACAGAATGGAGGCACCATAATGCTTAGTTCATTATACGTAATTAAGGGTTGGGCAAATCACAATGAAACGCCAACCTTTAGTCAATCAACATTTACCATGATATAACATATTTAACCATCCATCAAGTATCTTATTGAGTACTTTGGACAGAACTAAGCAGTGTCAAAGTAAATAAAGCAGCGAGAGCAACCCAGGGATATTTCTTTCACAGAGAATTGAAGAGCCTTCATTTAGATTCACACTGAGAACCTAGAAAGGAAGTAGATAAATAAATAGAAACTGAAGAAGTAAAACAGATCAAACCCAATTCACCTCAGTAGTGGATGTCATCCATAATGACCACTTGAGTTGACCACTTATTAACACCAATGACGTTCAGTGGGCGAATCTACATGGCTAATTTTAGAAAGATAGTAATTAAGACAAACTCACTAGGACTGAAGGTGATTGCCCAATTTTCAACTTCAATCCATACTTAAAAAATAAAATTTTCTTCTTGTTCTCTATATAGTAATTAAGACAAATTCACTAGGAATGAAGACATTTGGCGGAAACGAGTTTGTGAATAGGAATAAAAAAATAGAAACATAGTAAATTTGAAAAATATTAAATTTATTTAATGATTAGATTATTAAACTTCAGAAAGAAAATATTTTCATAAAATTATGAAAATATTAAAATTTTAATATAAAGGTATTAAAAGCACACCATAAAAGGGTTCATTTACAAAGTCAGCATTGAGTTTCCTACAGTCGTTACTGACAGACAATGAGTAAAAGAAAGACACCCTTAGCCTGTATTGTTACATTTGACAGTGTCAAACAACTGTAGGAAACTCGATTGCTCACATAAAATACGTTCCCTGAAAATAACTATGTTGATATATAGTAAGTAACATAAAAGCGACATCACATGGACCTGGATACTTGAGCAAGTGCAACACGCGTACAGGGCATTTGATTCCCCAACCCATGAAGAATAAGATTTGGCGACACAGCTATCTTATAAAAACATAACAGAATCCAAACATTATTTGCCAATATTCTATTTCATGATGAGTAGCCAAAAAACTCAGTTATGTCATGACTGAATCAATACATCTTTTCAAAATTCATATGGATCTACCCAAATCAAAAAAGAAGATCGAAGTCTATATCAAGATGTAGTCAATGCTCGGGGAAAAAGAAGAAGCATGAAAAAGAATCTGTGTCAAATTGTTTGCTGATACATGTCTGACACAGGTGCAGCACCCAAACACAAGAATCCATGTAACATAGACACAAAGTGATGTGTGCCCAAAAGAAGGAAAACGGCCCATAGACACAAAGTGATGTGTGCCCAAAAGAAGGAAAATGGCCATTATTTGAATTTTTAATCCATTTTACCTCCATTGTAGAAGTCCACATGCTAGAACCCATGACTGACCATTAAAGTGAGTGCATATTCAAGTATTAATGCTCACATGCACAATTTCAAACTAGGAAAATCAATTTACAAGTTAGCTTTGCTAATAACCTGAAGTGCCATAACTCCAGTTGCAAACTGTGTCATCGGCATATATTCAAGCATTAATGTTCACATGAAAAATGTCAGATTCAAACTTTACAAGTTAGCTTTACCAATAACCTGAAGTGCCATTACTCCAGTTGCAAACTGAGTCATCGGATGTGCTGTTTCAGGAAGGGAGGTAATGGCTTTATAAACATGATCTGCACTCAAAAATGAAATGGTCAAAGAAAATACAATGCCTCGAGCTCATATGTAAAATAACTTCCTGCAACAGAATAACAAATCTACAAGTTTAAATTGTTGAAAAGAAATGATGAGTATAATACATTCAGAATTTGCTTAAGTGTGACCTGAACAACAAAAAGTAAGTCATACAAGTTTGAGAGACAATAACAAAATTTAATTATAAATCTAATGTGAACTCGAAGTAGCCCAAATATCATGCATTACATGTAATTTTTGTTGAACAGAAAGAGAGAAGAACATCTGTATCAAGTTATTGTAGAGAGGAGAAACATAGAATCAGAAGAAAAGAGGAGAGGAAAACAAAAAAAAACAGACCACACAACAGAAGGGAAAGAGGGGAGAATGGAGGTCATGGTTGGATCCATAATATACGTGGAGCTATGTTTCCCCCTTCTTTTTACAAAACAACAACTGCACGGCCAATTTACATGAGATAATGAGCATACATCAATGTGAAGAAGTTAAAAAAAGAAGATGAACTTCTTCTTTCCTATAGCATAAACTGGAGTACAAATGTCTGATAGAGAATGATATCCAAGACAACTAGTTGTAAAAACCAAAGAAACCCTAATGGTGGCCAAATAACATAAAGTGAAAAATGTTATATGATGATCTTGATCATGAAAAGAATAATAAAACTACATAACTCTAATTATAAAAAAAGAAATACAAACGGTACCTGGAATCTTGGCACGACTTCGCAAGTCTTTGGACAAAGCATCAACCTGCTCCTTACTTGGTACCTGCTATGTACAAGATAATCACTTAAGCATGCTGAAAGTTAAAGAACGATGCACATATCTCAGTTTGTAAGTTCAAGAAGTATGTACATGTCTCAGCAAATAAAGAAATTTGTCTCAAAAGAATTGAGCAAAATAAAGATGTTCACAAAACATTGCTTAAGTTTCAGCAGCAATGTTCGAAAATTCAGCCACCCAGCCACCTAGGCGGCTGGGCAACCAAAACGCCTAGGCAGCAACTAGGCGGGCCACCTAAGAATCTTGCATCTTGACGTTTCAGTTAAGGTGGGCACCTAGGGGCTGCCTCGATACAAGTTGCTGAGGGTGGAAAAATGCCCTCGGCCTGGGTCAAAAAAGTCATTACCCCCCCTAGAAAGGGGGGATGGGAAGGGCTTTTGGGAACATTCTAAACCCCAAAAACCAATACCGTAGTATTTAGAGAGAGAAAAACTCTCTAAAAACGTAGATTATGTGATTCATAGAAAGATCAATAAATTGCAGATTTTTTCAATTACTTTCGAAAACAAAGGCAATACTTCGCAGTAGTTTTCAGAGCTTCAAGTGGTCCAAATTGAAAACTTTTGGCGACCGAATAGGTGAGGTTTGGGCCGACAATTTTCATTTTGATAAGGTTAGAGCATTATCATATTTGAATAAGAGTTTTGAATTTTTTTAATTTTAATCTTTTGCTATTTTGTATTATGTTTTGAACCATTTGATATTTTCTTACTTTTGTTTTTTCCTTTTATGATATATTTACATGTTTATGGATGAAAAATTGAAATTTTTTGTGATTAATTGATTATTTCCCCGGTTTGGATGACAAAAATCGAGCCTATATCGAATTCTTTTTGTAAAGCTTAGTGCAATTAAAAAATTGAATAATGTGTGAAACAAAATTTTCTTTTTTTGTACAATGTGCGATGTTTTGATCTTTTATTAGTTTTGTTTTACTTTTTTAATATTTTTCATGTTTGTGGATGGAATATTTACCGATTGGACTTATATTTTACAAGTAGTCTTAAACTTCAAATGAAATTGATATTTTATTAATATTTGATATCCAAAACCAAATCTTACGAATATTAATTAATAGTTATTTTACATCCTAATTCTTATGTCATTTTTAGTATTTCATTTGATTTCTACATATTATGAAAGTTTAAAGTATCACAATATTTTGAAGTTTCATAAAAAAGTTTCATTTTTATGTGGTTTCATTTATTTTTTATGTCTGCATTTAAAACACTAATTTTTTTTCTTATGTTTTTATTAATACTTTATTCTTGTGCATTTTACAGGTTTGTTGATTAGATTATACACAATGATACTCTATCAATTACTGTCGCTGTGACAATGTCTTCTAGTCGATCAAGTAGGCAAGGTGATCCAAGTTGGAACTATGGATCTTATCCAAATCCCCTTGACAAGAATAGGATGGAGTGCAAGTTTTGTTAAAAAAAACATTTTATGTAGTTTTGTTAAAACAAATATAATGTCGGCATCAATAAATTAAATAAACATTTAGCAGGTATTAGAAGGGATGTGGCCCCATGCACTCCAATGCATGTTGAGGTCAGGAGAGAGATGATAGAGCACTTGAAGGAGTTGAAAAACAAGAAAGAGGAGGTGAGGAAAAGACTAGGAATTTGTAAGGAGTGTAGACATCTTTGGATTTCGGGGAGAGGAATAAGATGTTTATATTGAGGCTGAATCTTCTAGTAGGCCAAAAAGAAGAGGGCCAATGGATACTTTCTTCCCCAGCCCCGATCCTAAGATTCTACTGTGAGAAAGGCGTCACACAAGTTTAGAGACCCACTTTTAAAAAGAAGATAAAAGATAAGCAGGCCCAACATGTGGCCAGGTGGTTCTTTCAAGCAAGCATTTCTTTTAATGCCGCTAACTTGAGTAGCTTCCGGGCTATATTGGAAGCAGTGGGCCAATTTGGGCTAGGGTTGAAGGGCTCCAACTGCTTATGAGCTTAAGGTTCCATTGCTTAGGAAAGAAGTAGAGCTCACCAACAACCATTTGAGGACCCACAAGGACACGTGGGGTATATATGGTTGCACAGTCATGACTGATGATTGGAGGTACACGAGGAATAGATGCATTATGAACTTGATGTTAAATTGTTCCTAAGGGATAATGTTCTTGAGGTCTATTGATGTTTCAGACAAGCCCCATGATGAAGAATTCATTCTTAATTTGGTGGACCAGTGCATAGAGGAGATAGGGGAGGATAAAGTAGTTCAAGTAGTGACCGTTCTCAGCTAATATGGCAGCCACCAAGTTATTGATGGACAAGAGGCCGTGGATTTTCTAGTCCCTTGTGCAGCACACTGCGTAGAACTCGTGCTTGAGGCAATCAATAAGAAGAGGACATTCCTAATAACCATAAAAAAGGAGAATAAAGTTGCAGTGTATATATACAGTTACACTCAGGTAAGAACCTGATCTACACTATGTTTATGCTTATGTGTTACTTATATTGATTCTTTTGAATACATTTGAGTCATTGAGGGTTTTTCACTTAGGGAATTTTATGTTGGTCAGGTCTTAGCCATGATGAGGAAGTTCATTGGTAATAGAGACTTGGTGAGGCCTTGGGTGAATAGATTTGCCACCTCCTACTTGTTCTTGCAAACCTTAATGTGATTAGAAGGAAAAGTTGAGGTCCATATTTGTATCAAAGGATTGGACTAAGTCCAACTAGTCTAGAAAGTTGATGGAAAAGTTGTTTTGGATATTATCATGGACTCAAGATTAATAAAGTCCAGTATGCCTTGTATGTCTTTAGCCCATTAGCTATGAGGCACATTTATAAAGCTATGGAGGATGCAAAGGAAGAAATCAGTAGATTTTTTTGGGCATGATGAGAAAAAGTATGAGGTTTATTTGTAGATTATTGAAGATAAATGGAACTACCAGCTTGAGAGGCTCCCTACGCTTAGCAGGATACTACCTTAACCCTACTCACTTGTACACAGATCCTAAGCTACATAGCAAGCATGAATTCATGGATGCACTCAACCAATGCAATATAAAGCTCAACCATGATCCTGAAATGCAGGACACAATAATGATGGAGGTAGAGTTGTATAGGCTCGCTACTAAGACTCTTGGTAGGGAGCTGGTAATCAGGCAGAGGTCCAAGACCCCTCCTGGTGAGTTTACATTTTGATTTTATGATTTGAGTATTGAATTTCAATTACACATACCTAATTCACTAAGTTATTACATTTATGTTTGAGTATTGAATTTCAATTACACATACCTAATTTACGAAGTTATTACATTTATGCTTATGTTAAATAGGTTCATGGTGGATGGGCAAGTTTCTGAAGAACTAGTGTCAAAACATAATAGTTCTCCAGAAACTTGGCCGTGAAAATGCTAAATGTGAGCACAACTTCAGCACCTTTGAAATGGTAATATTATTTAATAGTTAATACTTAGTTAGTTAGTAATTACTTACATAGTAACGGTAGTTTGTTTCTTTACTTAGTATATTAACATATTAAACCGAGTGAGTTTTTTCTATTAGGTCCATATAAAGAAGAGTAACAGGCTAGAGCAAAAGCTACTAAACAACCTAGTTATCGTTCAATATAATCACAAGTTGCAAGAGCATCATCGACAGTTGAAGCACAATGAAAAGCAGGCAATTGAAGCTGCTGATATGGATGACAATGAAAAGGAGGCAATTGAAGCTGCTGATATGGATGACACATGCGTGTGGCTAATTGATGTCGAGGTTCACAAGGTATTCCCTAAAGAGGCCTTGACCTGGGACAAGGTTCGTGAGGCTGCTGGGACAGCAATGAGCCCTATGCAGACCACTCAGGCTCAATCTCAAAGCCAAAGGAAGGAGAAGGAGAAGCCCCATCAAGGGAAGGTAACGGAGAAGAAGTGGAAGAGGGTGATGCGATCGAGAGAGGAGGATGAAAGAGGAAGAAGTAAATTCAAAAGAGATGACACTGAGGGCGATGACTCTGATGATGATGATGGCATGGCATCATCATCATCAGATGCTGATTTAGATCCACTTAAAAACCCCGAGTGATGATGCCATAGAGTTGTCTGGTTGACATTTGAGTTTCTGGGTGGTGACAACTTTTTTTGTTTTGTTTTTTGTCTAGTTGACTTTTGATGCATGGCCGAGTAACCCTTTGTGACTTTATGTATTAATTCTAGGTTTGTACAATGACATTTGGGATTTCAAGCAATTTGATGTCTTACAATCTCTTTGTATCTGTAAATGTATTTTATATTATTTGTTTTCTCCTTATCAATAGGGGTTTGGGGCTCCAAACTTGCCCTAAAAACTCCCTAAGGCCTAAAACTCTGCTATAAGAAATCCATAATCCTTTTTGTTTAGGTGTTCTTTTTTTTTCTTTTTTCTTTTTTCTTTTTTTCTTTTTTGGAGGAGGGGGTGGGAGGGGGGTCCCTACCCATCCCTATTCCTACGTGCCAGCTTAGGCAGTCAGGTGCCCCAAAACACCTAGAACACCCGCCTACGCTTTATTGAACATTTGTTCAGCCCAAAATTTATGTGAAGGAAAGGAACACAAATACAAGCAGGATGAATCTTGAGAATATTTAGTGATATCATCACAGCCCTCTATCACTGAATCATTTGAACAATTTATCGATGTGTAATCAGGCCATGATAATATAATTCCAATTAACATATGCAGTCATTTACCAGGTAAATTTTGAGATTCAAGAAGCACAGAATCAGTACAAAACAAAACATACAAGAGCATAAGATAACTAACGTATGATGTCAAGAACAATAAAAACCTTCGTACCATTACTAGTAATAACTACAACAAAAACCTCTTTTCGGTGCAAAGAACAATAGTGTAAAAGCAAATAATTACCTTCCCAGTCAAAAGGAGCCATAGCAGGCCCTCAGGCAATGGCTCACCCCCGGGTGTTGCAGCAGGAAGCACCTTCTGACATTCCGGAATGGAGAGACCCCTAAAACGAATTCCCTAAGAATCTTCCAACAATAGTCAGTCAAGCACTCCTATGAAAAATATTAACTGATCAACAAGTGAAAAGGAAATTCCATAAGAACCTCTACCAACCATAAGTTCGTAGCTGCAAGAGGCTTCACAAAGATTTTGAATAGAGAAAGTATACTAGGGAAAACTGTAGTCCATCGAGGTCAATGCCATATGAAAAATCATAGTCCATTGATCCACCACCATCTGTTGAAATGATGGACTCATGCTCTTCTGGATCCCACTTTATCTCCATCGCCATCTCAAAATTTCATTGGATGGTGATGACCCCAATGGAGTATAATGTTTGATGGTCCATTTGATTATTGTCAACTGCTTCATATGGATATCAACATCGATCGATAAATTTAAGTAAAGATCAGTGTCTTAGATTGATATACCTCATCTGGATCAAGCAACGATGTTTCCCATAGCAATCCTGTCATTCCTCTCATTCCACCAATCACCTATACAATAAAGAAGATGCACCATGATCACTCACTAGCTTTAAGGGTGCCTACAGTTTTATCTAAGGAAAAAGAGGAGGGGAAGGTTGGGGAAGGATATCAGACGAATGCCTAGAACACCTGCATAAATAGCAGCAGTGCTCTAGAACTTTGAAAGTTCCTAGACCAGTTTTTTAAAACGAGAATTTTACCCCTGATCATGTATTTACCAGGCACATGAGGGATTTTGCTATAGATTCACAGGGGTAAAATAATCATTTAAAGAAACTGACTGATCCTTCCACTATAACAAAAGTCCAAGTTTCTGGAGAACTAGTGCATATTATGCAGGTTTTCCATCACTGTTTTGCTAATATCCCTTTCATCTCAACACATAAGAGTATGGACTGCCTCTTACCATGTCCACTGTGATGTTCCCAAGATGAACCTTCCCATGCACTGATTTCAGTTTCTTTAGGCGCTCCTGAGTCCACAAGAGGAACTCTTTGAGACCACAAAAATAAGAGGATAATTGAATGTAAAATTTACTATAAGCCATGCACACAAAAAAAAAAAAGAGAGGATAATTGAGTGTAGAGAAATACTACAAGCTGTACCAAAAAAAACAAAAGTGATCATACTCTTCAGCACAAAGATAGAGCAGTCACAGAAAGTCCTTCATTTATGCAGGGTTTTGTACATCTCAAGTTGTTTCAAGAGTACAACTTTTCCATTGATTTCTAATAAGTGAAAGGAAGCATAATCTCTTAAGCAAATGAGGAAATGTGTCATTTTATGAGTGCAAGGAGGGGCTCTGCTGTGATCATTCAGAGGGAAAAAATATATTCTACAGTTCAATCATAAGAACATGACCTTTACACATTATAACACTTTGGTTCCTTTGACCATCAATAGAAGTTCACTATGAGCTTCCAAAATCACCTGGCGAAAATAAATCATTTATCAACCAAGTACCATGGGAACAAGAAATAGACACACTATCCACCAATTTTCTTTTTCTAACACGCTAATCTTGAAGTTCTTCCCTTAGGATTAGCTAAATCCACATAAACTGCCTCTTGTAATATGTATTCACATTTTACACCAGAGTTCTTTCAAAACAAAGGAAATATACCTATGGCTGTCATAAGCTCAAAAAATATAGCAAATATACAATTTTGGTAAAATATACCATCTAGTATGACTTGAGAATTTCTGAGTGCTTGACTCACATGACGGTAGACTTAACTATATCCATCCTTAGTTTACTACTTTTACATTAATCAAGGTCTTTTATCAAAGCAGTAATTTAGACAAGTTAAAAAAAAGCAACAATTTTTATATAATTCAGTACAAAATTAGCAGCAACAGACAATTTTGCAAAAGAATAAGCACATACCTGCTGCTCAGGGATAAGTTCCTTTAACTGCAGATGAAGATCCTGCACAAGATGAAAAAAATAACATGGAAAATCTGTATTGATTTTATATGTTTGGAAAAATTAATGAAAGCACAAACATAAAACGGGTTCCTATTACATTTTTCTTTTATTTATTTTTTTAAATCTAATTGCATTCACTATTTTTGGCACATTGATAAGAGGTGTACCATAACCCAAATCTCAAAAGAGGATTCAGTATAGAACACCAAAACAACCTTGCCACTATAGTGAAAGGTAATGTTATTTCACCAACACATAAAAGTAGTTAGTTTCGAAACAGATAAAAAAACAAAATTCACATGAAAAGAACCCTAAAATCTGTCGGATAAAATAACTAAAACATACAACGTCAGAAGCACTTTGCATCTGAAGCCACCGAACAGAACCATTAAGACTAGATTGCTGCACCTGAAATGAAGAAGACCACTTTTAAACGATGCAGATGAGAGAAGAGATCAGTTCGTTCTTTTATGTTGAAAAATGACATTATTTCACATTTCTATAATGGGGACAAATGTATATTCCGATAGAATGAAAACTGCAGTCCTCATATCCACCTTCAGTGCCCACTATCCAATGGTGAAGATTAGACGTAGTGGAGCACACAAAGACATTCGCCAAGGTACAGTCAATCACCAACTACAGAGCAGACAGTGTATGTTGATGGACTGCAGTTTTCATAACCCATTAGATCATGATATACACTCCCGTCCACAATTCTTTCCCACTACAATTAAGGATGAAAATTGAATAAACAAAAATATATATGTTTACTAAAATCATGGAAATTGGCTCCTTAGTACAAGCCAACCAGGCACTCTTAAAAGTGATATTTTGGTCTATACACATTGCAAAAAAAACATGACAGAATATAGCCACTGTAAGGTAGTTCAGCTGTAGGATTCGAACTTTGGACATGGTATTGCAATAGCCAACACCTTAACCAAAGCCCCAATATAGCAAAATTTGACATTTTAAGGTGATTAAACAATTTCAGGACATAGATATATGATGAATCTCTCAGATAAAATTAAGACCATAGAAAGAAAATAGTCTATTTGTATCCAGTTGGTGGATATGAATACTTTAAGCATACAACATACTAAAGCAAATTTTACTTACAATGCGAGAACGAAGCTTTGAAAGCGAAGAGACACCTCTGAAGAAAGCCATTAAAAGAAATATGTGCTGCCCCATGAAAACATAATATCATTAAGAAACAACTAACCTCAATCACCAAAGCATACATATCAGTATATACTCCTTCATGGCTCAAGTAATATAAACATCAAGGCTATATCTGTACTCATCAGAAGAGAAGAAAATAAAAGAGACAAATCACTTTATGAGAAAAATGAAACTTCATTTCTAATTGCTCACCTCAAGCATGTTAACCTACACAATCCACTTCAGATGTCCAAGTAGCTATGACAAAACAGTAGTATGACAAATAGGAATAACATGCCACAAACATGAAATTCTAGTTTTAATCAAACTAGGACTTACTCTATATGGTTTTTTTTTTTTTGATAATTAACTTACTCTATATGTTACTACTAACAAGATTCCCACACACAAGAGAGAGAACCCCCCTGTCAAGTAGAGCATACCAAAGTGTCGCACCAGAAATTATTCCAAAAAAAAAAAAGGACAAAAAGAAAGAAAGCAACTTGTGATTCAAGTCACTTATAAAGGGAACTAGACTGGTCCCTTAAAACCCGTCTGGATTGGGTGACTCCAATCCAAATCAGCATTTTTCTAAATCATGGTTTTGACACTGTTTGTAGATAAGCAAGGAACGGTGTCCAAAAAGCCCATTAGTTAGGCAAGTATGGGAAATGAAATTGTAGAAAGCAAATATCATAAATAAAAAACATGGAAATAACTTGGAAGGGAGATCATAGTAGCAAGTCTCTGTATGACAATAAATCTGCAGTCAACAAAATTGGTATTAAATCAGTTTTGGTAGAGAAAATATAGTAAGAAAATGATCTACAAATTATGAGTATCAAATAACCTTTGAGAAAAAAACATATGATTATTCGAAGACCCAAACATTTGTCTTAAAATCCATTTACCTTTGAAACAAAGAGGTCACAAATACACTTAGCCATCCGATTTCTTATTGGAGAGCTTGGGGTGTGTCACGAAGTTCAAGAAATTTCTCTTTGAAGTTTGAACCAAGTCAATGACACTCAAAACCACCCAATTTGTAATCCGATGGACAAGAGTGATTGTGATCTCCTTGTACCAGATTTAAATGGTCTCTTTCAATACCACCCCCCTCCCCCCACACACACACACACATACACACACGCACACACACAGATACAGTCACAAATACACAGCCCACTCGCATGTCACACACACACACACACATATATGTTTTTGGGTGAATTTGTATGAAGACACGCACACACACACGCACACACACACACACACACACACACACAAACAAGGTTTTCGGTGAATTCATATGAAGAATAATACTGAAAAAATAATTAATTACAAGTAAAATGGAGAATTTTATAATAATTGAAGTAGTTAAATTCTATATGTCTTTTAGACTTTGTAATTTTAAAAGAATAAAGCATTTTGTACAAATTAACATTGATTAATGCCAAAGTAGTACAGTATGAGTATGAAGCTCTATAGAAGGGCTTTGGAAGACCTAAGTAGGATCTTTTGATATCTCCTTTAATTGCAATTTAGGTTCATTTGGATCCCCGGAAAAAGATTGTTTGGAGAAATCTATTTCCTTTGAAACACATTTCCTGATAAAAGTATTTCCTAGAAAATAGATTTCCATTGTTTGGATAGCATATGGATGCAACCTCAAAGGTACATTTCTACTATTTGGATCATCTGGAAGAAACATCCTTCGCTCAAATTCCTATCATTAGTTTTACCTGCAATTATCCTCAAATTTATTTATTAGGGTAAATTTATCATACTTGATCATAACATTCTAATGTCTTCTTTTTTTTAACTTTTTCGTTAATTCTTTTTGGTTGTTTTTTTTATTGTAATGTGTTTTTTTTTTGTTTTTGTTTTTTTTTTTTGTGCTTTTTCTTGGACAAATAGATTTTAATAGAGGAAAAAGTTTATATAAGGGTGAGGCCCTAGATAATCAAATTAAGGCGCACCTCAAAATTTTATTAGAAGAGGTTGTTTCGATGCTGAAAAACAGTCAATTCGATCATCTCAACCTCGAAATGTATGGACATGAAAAAATATAGATTTCAAGTCTTGGAAATAGTGCATCTTGTCATGTATTATCTAGACCGTCAATTTTCAAGTGCTCACGGATCGGCTTGATCTAGATGAAAACAATTTTTTAGGCCAGCACAAAAAAAATTGATACTTAGACAACATATTTCGGCACCATTTGAAGGTGCGCCTTACCTTGATTGGTTAGGGCCTCAGCCTTATACAAACAGCACCCATTAATGTATAGGCACGACATTATGTTACTCAAATAATTTTCCTTTCTCATGTCTCTTCTTTATACAAGATTGCAAAAATCTTGTACTTTACTGTAACATCTTACAAAATCATATAATAGTGTTGCTACCTTTCGATTTGTATTTTCTGTAACATCTTTGTCAGCTTAAATCACCTATCAAAAAAACAAAATGACATCTCTCTTTGGAAACCAGAAACATTTCCACAGATACAAGGCAAAAACCAGAACATCAATTCCTCAATCTATCAAAACCCAAGTCGCCTGAAAATTAGTGCATACAAGAATCACACGAAACGTACAAAAAAAAAAAAACAAAAGGTGCTGCTTATCTATTCCATAAAAAAACAAAAAAAACAAAAAATAAAACATAAGTAACCAGAAAATCAGAAACAAATTAAGAGAAAATACAGCTGCTACTTTTCCGATTCCAGACAAAAAAAAAAATTTTACCTTGTTTATCTCTGAAACCCTATCTAGGGTGATGAAATGCAAAGATTGAAAACCCTAAAAAATTTGTAGAGAGCGAGAGAGAGAAATTTGGGGCCGTGGGGTTCGTAGAGACGTTGGTGGGCAAGGGAGAGAGAGTGGGAAGAGGGACTTGCTATGCTCGTGCGGAGCCCACGTGTTTGCTAGTAGGAATTTTAGTGATAATAGGAATTTTTTTGGAAGTGGAAGTGAAACATTCCACTCCTACTTCGACTTTCCATACTAGAATTTTTCACTTTTACGTTTGACTTTTCGTACTGGAATTTTTCAATATTGAATAGGGCCCATATTTGAAAGGTCGCCCTTCAATAAAATATTATTGGAGGGGGATCTTCCATGATGAAAGGGACACTCCCTTCCATTACAACATGGAAGGGCGTTCAATGACGCCCTTCCTTGAGGTCAAGGCGAGGATACATATTTCTTTATTGTTGGCTTGAAATTGAGTAAGTAATTTATGATAGAAATAGTTTTATACCTCAAAATTTACATCCAACTACAAAGAATGTATAATTTCCATAGAAAAACATTATTAGGATAAATTTTTCAAAGTATCCAAACCTCCCATATGAGGTCGATTCCATTTTTTTGGTGTTAGAGTCTAGATTACCTATCATAATAGATTTCTCAAACCTTGGAGTGTGAAATGAATTTCAAAAATTTTGGGGATAATCTTATACATTGTGTTTCTATTTAACGTGTACTATATGCATTCCTAAATGCAAGAAATGGCGTATTTGGTTGTAATATGTCTGTGTAATGGAAATATAGGTACCCAAACGGCCCCTTAGGGTAAACTACGTAGAACTCTGTAGTTCCCCACTAATACATTTTATTCAGATCGTAGACTTTGTTACTATTTTTTATGAGGAAATGTATTTAATGAAACCATTTATTTTTTATTCAATGAGGTCACAATCATCATTGATTGTTAGATTTGAAATCGGGCGGTTGAAGATGCATCATTGTTTAGATACAAAGTCCAAATCAAAAGTTATCGAATGCTGAGATACACTTTCATCTATTGAATTTCATATACAATGCCCATATTTGATTGTGACCTCCTTACACTGAAAATAAATGATCTCATAATATACAATACCTTTTAAAAAATAATAACAGGGTTTATGGCGTGTATAAAAAAATATTATGCAATCTATAAGGAGAAAATTCAAGGCAGGAGGATTTATGTAATATTCTCAAATTCTTACTTTAGGCCTACAAACTTCCTAAATGACTTAACAAATATCACATTTTAAAATATCAAACTAGGGTCAAGCCGATTGAACCCGTCACGCACCAGTTTTGAGTTTGAACCATCCAAGCTAACTCGACTCAACCAATTCAGCAAACTTGAAAAATAAAAAAAATATAATGTAAACAAAATGTATAAAGTTTAAAATGTTTAAATAAAGTTTAGAAATTGTAAATCATTCAACAAACAACAATAAAAAAATATTTTTAATCCAATTCTAAAGTCTACTTGCCAATTTTTAAAATACAAATACATACACAAGAAGAAGAAAAAAATATTAGTACTTTGAAATACCCATGCTTCCTCCAACTAAAAACTCTAACAAATCCCTCCCTATTTGACTAGCATGTTACATCAGTGGTCCCGGGGATACAAAGATCGGAAGAATCATTTGGAGAGCTTAGTTGGGTAGTATTATGTGGTACATCTGCAGGGAGAGGAATCCAAGGATTTTTGAAGATCCAAGGAACAGATCATCTTCAATTTTTTGGAATTGTATGTTTATTTAACCATAAACCAAACATGTGGCTAACTCAATCAAACTTAATTTTGATGGTAATTTATTAGGTAATCCTGAAAGACGAGGAATTAGTGGATTGTTTAGATATCATAGAGGTAATATTTTGCTTTATTTCTCGGGGGCCTTGGGGGAAAGTAACTGCAAATGTTGTGGGGCTAAATGCTTTATTACAAGGTATGTGATGCAGATACAAATATTGGGTTATTTGAAAAAGTTTATTTTATTTTTATAATATTTTTTGGGAGGTATGAGATTATTTTATTTATTCTTTTCTATCTTTTCTGTATCAAATGGTATAAGAGCCGATTGATCCCACCAGCAGATCAAAGCGACTGAATTATGGAGCATATGGGTCGATGAGATCAATTACTCCAGTGATTAGATGAAAATATAAGAGAATTACTTGCAAGTCTACAGATCAAATATGTGTGTGATTGGACCGCAAATTAACCCATGTCGCAGAGGGACCAAAATGGATTTTTTATGAACAAAATTCATAACTTCTTAACCACATATCAGATTTGAGTTATTCTTGAGCCATGGGAAAGCTCACGACCTCATCTACAATTGAAAATCCAATTTTGACCAATTTGATTAAGTTTTGAGGGGTCTAAAAAGCTTGGACTTTGAGGTATCGGTCTTCAGAGTTATAAATATCAGAATTAGATACAGGTTGGTTTCTTGTGTTTCTTAGGTTCAAGGATGTTGAGGATGATTAAAATGAGGTATAGGTAGGTCTAAAGTCCAGGTTTTATGTCCCAAGAAAGTGACTAGGTTAAGGTCCCTATAGTTTCAAGGGCTTTTGATTTCCTAGAATTCTCTCAAGTGGGAAAGGTGTGTCTACAGTTCAAATCATGCCAACCAAAGCCTCAGCCCATGTAAACAAGGCAAATATTGTATTTCTCTGACCTTCCAACTGCGCCAACCTATAGCCTCAACCCTAGGAACATCAGGGGTGGAAGGCGACTTGGCATTTACTTAGCTGGCAAACTTTGTTTATATGAAAGATGATACCAGGATGACAACATACCAATCAACCATGGAGCTCTCAACGATTGCCCCACGACTGGGCTAAGCTCTTCTCTAGGTCCCTAAGACCACTGGCATACCTGAACAACTGCTGTCAAACACCCAAGTGACTACTATGTTTCAAAAAGGCTTAGTTCAACTATGATTTTCACTGACTGAAACGCTTCAGATGTCTTCCTCTTTACCACTCATCTCATCCAAAGTGTACAACATGAGCAATTAATGGGAGCAATTGTAAACACGCCTTTCCCCACTCAGGGAAATCCAGGAAAACCAAAAACCCTGAAACATAGGGACCTTAACCTAGTCACTTTCGTGTGAACTAAATCCTAAACTTTAGACCCACCTCATCCTAGACATCTCCAAACCTAAGAAACATAGAAAACCAATCCTAATACAATTCTGACACCCATAACCCTAAAAACCGAAGCCCTAAAGTCAAAGCCTTTTAGACCCCTCAAAACTCAGTCAAATTGGTTCAAGTTAGATTTCAAGTTGCAGAGGAGGTCATAAGCTTTCCAACGCTATAGTAATTGCTCAAATCCGGTACACACATTAGAAGTTATGCTGCGGACAACTTTGTTTATAAAAATTCTATTTTGATCCCTCTGCGACATGGGTTAATTCACATTCCACTGCAAATAAGGTCAATTCACAAGCGAATTATGCCCACTCGCAAAGCTTGTTTTGCCTAGAATTTTCAGTATGCTTCCCTTCAAATTTTATCATGGTATATAATTTTGATGTAAGATGTTTTTAGGATTATCTCAAAATCTATTTTTATATCTAATTATAAAATTTTGAATTTTAAAAATGATTAAAATCAAGTAGATCTATAAACATATGAAAATCTTGAAAATGGACAGTGTAGATAATATGTTGTAAAATGCACTATTTTTAAGACTTAAAATCTTTTTATTTTTCATGGTCATACATCTCAATGTCGAGATGATCAATCAAAAGGTTTTTCAATATTAAAACTACCTTGTCGGATGGATTTGGATTTTTGAAGTGCATATGTAGTTTTATGTTATAAGGTTGCATCCTTATATAAACTTTGTCAATAACTTTATTATGCACATGAGGAACCTCATTGCACAGCCCCCAAAGCCGCCCAAAACATCCTAAAGATGTCCCAAAACGGTTGTCATTAGTGTGTACCTCCCCACGTTCTGCAAGTAACCTTTGGTCGCGGATGATCGAGGGGCTTAATTTCGACCTAGACCTAGCCCTGGACTTCCTAGGTTCCACTGCTACTACAACAAGCTCGGCCCACTCATCTCAGGCTCACATAAACCTTAAAAGCTCAAAAAACACTAAGCTAAGGACCACCCTAAGTATCTTAGTCCATCATGGTCCATATCGCCTCGAAGGCCCAATCTCGGACTCTGATCCATATTTGACAGTGAGTGTCTCTGACTCAGCTCTCCGACAGACAACAGGACGCTCCTTTACACCGGCGACTCTGATTCAAGCCGCCAACTCCGAGCGCTGGGCTTGTGGTCCTGACTTCTACGTAGGACCACGAACTTACTTCTTTAATTTATTTTTTCATTAATTTTCAATTTCATTTTGAGTGTGTTCCGTTTTAATCATTTTTTATATGCTTTTCATATTTTAGTAGATTTTTTTTTTTATCTTTTTAAATTTTTTCAACACTTTTTTAACCGTCTGGGGCTTGCCCTGTTAGAGTGGTTCGATCGGCCGATATATCGGTTGGGCTGGTTAAGCTGCTTCCAAGCCCATGTCCGGTTAACCGTTCCGGTTCGATTTTGCGAACACTGGGGGCAGGATAGGACCATGCAACCACGACCTGAGGGTAGGGTCGAGCCGGGCTTGGGACAAGGCATGCCTAGTTTGGCCCTCTCTTTCTTTTTTTTGTCTTTTTTCTTTTGTTTTTCTTTTTTTGATTTTATTTGGCCAGGCTCGGCCTTGATAGGGCTAGGCTTGGGTCTAGTCATTTTGGCCCAATCATTGTAGTGTCGGGCCTAGGTTGGACCTATGGGGACTAGGACCGGGCTAGGGTCACGACTGAGTTACTAGGATCCGGCTTCTTGCCAGGCTAAGTAATCTAGTCCAACTAGGGCCACTTCGAAAAATATATATAAAAAAAATTAAAATATATAAAAATGGAATCAATGTATAAAAACTATATAGATGTTGTTATATAATGAGTTGTGAAATTTTCTTGTCATATGCTATATTTTTATATTTTCCTCTGGATTTTCTAAAATATCTCCTCCACTAAACCAATTTTTTCTAAATCCACGTGCTATACATTTTTTTTTTTTGGGCGTCGCCTTTGATTTTGTTTCACTTTTACAATTTTTGTTGCATTTTTTTAAT